CTTGCCATGTTGAGCTTTCCTGCACAGCAGTCTCCTCTGTTGATGATGATGATGGAGGTGATGATGTAGGACTCCAGCAGGTCCACTCTCCACCAGGGGTTGGCCATCTCAACAGTGGAGGTGCATGATCCAGCAGAGTAGTTAGATTCACGGTTTCCATCAATAGCATTGGAGGCAAATCCATACAAGTCGGCAATACGCTCTGACATGGTCGCTCTCCCACGTAAAGCCACATTCTCTGTGAATGAGACCATAGAAATACATTTATTTTTGATGTAAAACATTTTTTTTAATTAACAAACCTCCATTCAACTTTTTTTGTCAGCTATGGGGGCAGCCAACACAAATTCGTTATACAACATGACACGTCATAACCCATCAGTTGCTAACTTAAATATGTAGCAGTTACAGAGCCACATGCTTCATTCAGAGCTGGTTATGTCAATCTGATGAAGCTAAGTCAAATATTCACTTTTGAATCTGTTTTTGGTTTCTACCAACTGCTAAGATAAACATCTTGCTTTGTCACCAGTGAGTTTATATTTGTGTCTATCTGCTGTTGTTTTTATTTTTACAGATGTATAACAATTACCTCCGCGTTGGCCTGAAAAGATTCCTTTAAAGGGCCCATCTATGCTTTTTGAGGTTTAACGCATCCTGTAGCGTGTTGTATACTGTTGGAGGATTGTGTGTATGTAAATGGTCAGCAAAGAATAAAATCCCTGTGTTCCCTCCAGAGGGAGATTCAGAAAATGTTGGTAAACTACTGTGCAGACCGTGTAATGATGGGGTGTGAAAAAATCCTTCTTGCACTCTCACGTCTTTAACTAAGATGAATGTGAAAACAGCCATCTGCTGTGAAACTCCAAAAACATCAATCCAACAAAAATCCAAACACATTAATGTTCAGGGAGACATAACAGTTTTATAACAACGTTAATATCGATACAGCCAGGTCCTACTTACGGTAGTTGTTAGCTGAGCTAGTTCCCAGAAGGAGCAGCAGAGACAGAACTGACGTGTGTTTCATCGTTCTGATTGAGACAGACAATTACATCATTACACTAAATAAATAACACTAAATGACTTTCTTAATACTGTATGAGATATATCTCAGATTCTCTTTGCTACATAAGTTAGATA